GGTCCTTTCTTGGCTTCTCGTTTCTGTTACTGTTGCTCGACTTCTCCCTCTCCTTCTCGATTTTTGCTGCTGTCCTTTCCCTCAATCGACAGCCTTCCCTGCTGTCTCTTTTTTGTTTTCCTCTAAATCGACAGCCTCTCTGCTGTCCACCCTCGACCGACTGCTTGCTGCTACTTTCTTCTCTCGACTTCTCCCTCTTGATTTCTCTCGCGACAGCCCTCTTCGATCGATTCTGCTGCCTTTGACCGGTTCTGTCCAACCGAGCCAGAAATCGACAGCCCTCTTCTTTTTTGTTTTCAATCCAATCGAACCTCTGCTTCTTATCTTCTGCTGCTTCCTCTCGACAGCCCCTTTGCTGTCACTCTTCCTCAATCGACAGCCTCTCGTCTCGATTTCTCTCGATTTTTACTCTCTAATTTCTCCAACTGAAACAGCCTGCTGCTGTCCTTCTGCCTGCTGCCTCCCTCGCCTGGATAACCTGCTGTCCTCGACAGCTTCTTCTTATCCTTCTCGGCTGCTCGATGACAGCCCCCTTCTCGATTTCCCTCGCGACAGCCCCTTTCTCGATCGACCCCATGATCCACGATGTGCTGCCCATCTCCCCATCTCTCGCTGCCCACGTCCCGATTTTCTGTCTCGAGCCACATGCTTCCATCGCCACGATCTCCCGCACCTCATTCTCTCCCTTTCGCTACTAGTCTGGGCAGCAGCCTTGGGCTGCTGGTTCCTCCCTCTCGTTGTTGTTTTGCTGTTTCTTTTGGGCTAAAGTTGGGCCTGAAATTATGGGCTGCTGCAACATGAAATCAAAGCAAAATAAATCAATTCTTTTTCTTTCTTTTCTAACTTAAATGACCTCATATAATTATATATCAACTTGAATAAAAATGGACGTTTCAGGCATCTAATTGACATTAATCTCAAGCTACTTTGACGTAAAATATGTATAAATTTAGGCTTATCAGCTGCCTATATCTTTGGTTTCTTCTTTGGAAAAACTCCATTAATCCAGTTATCCCCTAAAAAGACCTGGGAAGGATTCATTGGAGCATCAGTCACAACGATTATATCTGCCTTCGTGCATGCTAGTTTTTTTGGTCGCTTCCAGTGGTTGACATGCCCTAGGAAGGACTTATCAACTGGTTGGCTTCAATGTGAGCCTGACCCTCTATTTAAGCCGGAGAGCTATGCTTTACCTGGAGAGCTTCCTGAATGGTTCACATGGACAGAGATCCAAATTCTGCCAGTGCAATGGCATGCTTTGGGTCTTGGACTTTTTGCTTCAATCATTGCACCTTTTGGTGGCTTCTTTGCTAGTGGTTTCAAAAGAGCCTTCAATATCAAGGATTTTGGGGATAGTATTCCTGGACATGGTGGGATGACAGACAGAATGGATTGTCAGATGGTGATGGCCGTGTTTGCATACATCTATCACCAGTCGTTTATCGTGGCTCAAACCGTATCCCTTGGGATGATATTAGACCAGATTGTAATGAATCTCTCGTATGAGGAACAACGAGAACTATACTGGAAACTTGGTCAGATCATTCAGGATCGTCAGTTTGGTGAATCCTGAAGAACACGAAACTTGGATTAAGATAGATGTGTTGTGAAGTGGATCTGGGTTCGTTGGTTAAAATCAAGGGCTTGTAATCTATTCAAGCATATCATGAGGTTTGTATGTTGTTTGTTTCACAAGTTGATGTCTTAAAAAGACTTATAGTTTAAACACACATGTATAAGAAAGAGAGGTGTAGAGTGTAATTTTATCCCTTGTATTTTGATTAAAAAAAAGAGGATTAGCTTTATCCAATATAGGATTAGCCTTATCCAGAATAGGATTCTGAAGATAGTCGTCTTGAAGGACCAGAGAATAGACCAGAGGATGGACAGACTAGAGAGGCTCTGGTCAATACAACGAGAGGCTCTGGTCCTCTTCACCTCCAGAGGCTCTGGTCAATACAACCAGAGGCTCTGGTCAAGCTTACAAAGGCTCTGGTGTCTTTTACAGAGGCTCTGGTTCTGGTGTCTCTTACAGAGGCTCTTGTTCTTCTTACAGAGGCTCTGGTCGTCCATACTTGGTCGATTTAGCACAACGGCTGGTCTTCTTCCAGACATAGACGTTTTGGCATAACAGCATGTTCAGATGTTCCATTCTTAGCCCCGATTGCTTAATAAAACTTTTTGAGATAATTATTAGGATCAATTTGATGCTAACAATCTCCCCCCAAAGTTTTATGAAGCAAGCATCTTCATGAAGTCTTCAGGTCTTCTCCCCTCTGCTTTCTTGATTAAAGCTTTAGTGTGCTTGGTATGGATGGAATTTTCAAGCTCCCCCCTGAATGTAGCTCTTTGTTCTTCATTTTTCAACTCTTAGATCAAATCAGATTCAATGTGAATGCAGCACCACTGATTGCACAAGATGCAGCTTTAATCTGCCCACAATCCAGCACATTCTTTGAAGCACAGAATAGCCACTCACCCCAAAAGTAGCAAATTCATCCAAAAAGGGATAGATAAATGTGTGAATTACTTGACAAAATAGTGCAAACAGTCTTATGAYAAAGAAACTTTCAWTGAACCGCAAGTTGAGTAGGAATTCAGCTTTAGAGCTTGATTCAATTAAAGATAACTTGAATAACCAAAGCAAACACCATTGTTATTGAGAAGTGGAGAGAAGAATTAACATTTAAGCTTTATGACTCCAAGAAACAGCAGGTTAATTCAAAGAAAATTGACAGAATTGCTGTTAATGCTTCTAAGGGCAAAACATGAAGAAATTTTCCATAAACATGTAGGATTGGTGATTACAGGCAAAAAAAAAAATTAAGCTATTATAGATTCAAATCCACAAAAGAGAGAAGATGAAATAATACTCAAGATATTGGCGATAAAAAATATGTTTGGCAAATAAAACGCCAATTGCCTTAGGCTGTGAGTACCATGAACTCTTGCTAAAACGCCTACGCG